ATTTATTTTGCACTGCACAAATATAACTATATTTTTTATATCTTATAAATGTTCAATATATAACTTTTTTAATATAATTTAATATAGATTGCAGTAAGATTTCGAATAGATCTATTGACTGTCATGTATCACATCGTAGCTAGAAGACTCGGAATACATAGCGTTCTGACAAGGAGAACCACATGGGAACCTACAATCATATGGAAACCAAACTAGTAACTATAATTTTAGTTTATTGCTAATACTTTTTCAACACATATATAATGTATATTTATATATATGTATACATTTCATAAGAACATTTCTACGATTTTTTTGGTTACTTGTTTGTTTTAAATTGATGAAACAAAGGATCGTAGCATAAAAATATTTCCTCCTCGAATATTTAACAAAACGTTAGCGCATACATACGTATACATACGCATGCGTTATACATACATATACAGAAAAATAATCAAAATCTCTTTCTTTCGATAAGAGATTAAAGTCATCTTAAAATTATTATATAAAACAATACAATTTCTTTTACGAAAATGTTTTATTTATTTTACACATAAACATATGCACATATTTAAATTCAAAAAAATTATGTTTTATAAATTATATTTTACTGATAAAATCTATTAATTCTTTATAACTTTGTATTAATGCTCCTGAATACTCGCCGTGGTCTTATCGGAATCGTGATGTCAAAGATGAAAATGACACACTGAGGAATTTGTATCATTTTTAAATAAAAAGAAATTTTGATCAAACATCGCTACAGATTGTTTTAACACACTTGTAAAATTGTCCGAAAACTATGCTAAAAGCATATATGTTTCGTATCACACTCATTTTAGGGCTGTTTATTATTTGTCAAGGGAAAAGTATAGTTTTTGGACAATTTTGCAAATGTGCTAAAGCGATCTCTGTAATGTTGTTTCATCAAAATATTTTTTTATTTAAATAAACAATAACATAAATCATGGCCTCTACGAGCAGATTTGAGAAAATGAATTTTAATATATTGTTAATAAATTGACATTAAAAGTTAGACAAAAATTGTGGGACGTTCCGACACTAAACTTGTGTCTCTTCAGCCACCGAAAGTTACATTAATGATTTAATATTACGCAACTCGATTCCAATCATATTTCCATAAAGCGCAAATGTGGCTGTTTATCTCCTTCTTTTTTTTGGATTAACAATGCTTTTATTTAAGAATGGCACGCAAGAATTCTCAGCGTGTCATTCTTGTTTCTGATGTCACGATTCCAATATGGCCGCGGCGAGTACTCAGGAGCTTTAACAAGAATGGAATAATAAAACAACTTTACGTGCAAAATAATAGATACAATTTATTTAAAAGATAACTTGTATAATTTTTTAAAATATGCTAGGCCATTATTTATTATTTCATATTGAAAAGAATTTTCTGTCAAATCTCTTCAATAATTTTCAAAAATAACATGTTGCGCAGTTGAAATTTATACATAACATTTATAATCAGTCTATTGCAATCGCTAGAAAAATTATGAATTTTAATTACAATGAACATTTATTCTATATGTTTAAACGCATATATGTATATGTATGTATTAATATCTTTTTCTTATTTTTAGTAATACAAACAATTTGAATAATGCAGAATACTTTTGTGTGAGCGACGACTCCCATCTACTTTATCCATCGAACATTATCAGAGGGAGGTTCCAAGATAATGAATTTCTACTGACTTCATCAAATGATATTATGATTAAGGTAATTATTTATATTTAATTTTAAGTATTTAATAAAAATATCACTCAATTATGTCTTATAAATAACACGTTATTTCAATGAGTCTCGATACATTTTAAATAAATGAGTGAAAGCGATGAACTTCTTTTTATCTTTTGTCTGTAACCAAGATTTTCTTTATATATTTTTTTCTTTAGGGAATAAAAGTCATGATGAGTATTTTTGATAAAACATATCTTTATGTACATTTCTTTTTCACTTACCAATATGGTTTAGATATGTATTATTTTGAGGACATAGATATTGAAATTGTATACAGAGATATTACAAATACAATAGAGGTAAGTTATAACACATCGTATAATGTAATTTAATGTATTCATATATCAATATATAAAAAGATTACATTAATTATTATTATTTATAACTAAATCATTACATTATTTTAAAAATTGCTTGTGTAACAAGAAATCGATTGAATATAATATTATGTTTCCACAGGTTAGATCTAACGCAGTAGAGGAATCATTAAAAAGAAGGACAAATGATGTTAAATTTGCCGTTGGAATGATCGTAACGCATATAGACAAATATTCTTTTATTCTTGATAATCATGACGGTGTAATCATTGGGTGGCATCGTGGATATGACATAGAAATTCAAAACAAATTTAAGGAGACTATTATGTTTCCATATCTACATCAATGGGATGATTTTTGTCACATTTGCCTACGTCAACAATTTTCAGCCAGTGGCCATCAACTGTACTACATTATTCTCGCCGAGAATGATATAGTATGTTATGTGCAACAAGGTATAATTATTAGTAGCATTCTTATAAATGACATATGTGTTTTATGATCTTTTATCTGTACAATGTAAAATATATCTATTTTAGATCAACTATCCATATGCCCACCCAAAAGAATCAATAACATAGAAATTGGAAGATATTTCTCCAGCTTCAAAGGCACTTATTACGTACCAAATGAAAGCTTAAGAAAACATTATCCAGAAGATACCGCTGCAATAGCCAAAATACTTGCCAAACAATAGTTTTTATTATCTTAAAATGTACAATTTGTTATATATATATATACAATATATTTAGATATAGGATATCATTTTATAAATTTTGTAAATCTTACATTGTAAAAAAATATTTTTTGTTGTAGATTTGAGATAAATTTAAAAAAGATAAAGATTTATATTGCATAGAAATTTGTGTATAACTCATTAATATGTATTTAAAAATTAA